GCTTGTATTAGGGCTGGTGGGTTTGCATGGGGAGAAAGCGGATCGAGAGAGGAACCGCCAAGCTTCCTGAACGGTCTCACTGCCCCTTGATCTCTGTGCAGACCTCTCAGCAATTGCTAGACGGGTATTCTTAATAATAATAATAATAATAATAATACTTTATTATTTATACTCCACCCATCTGGCTGAGTTTCCCCAGCCACTCTGGGCGGCTTCCAATCAAGAGTTAAAAACAATATAGCATTAAATATTAAAAACTTCCCTAACAGGGCTGCCTTCAGATGTCTTTTAAAGATAAGATAGCTGCTTATTTCCTTGACATCTGGTGGGAGGGCGTTCCACAGGGTAGGCGCCACCACCGAGAAGGCCCTCTGTCTGGTTCCCTGTAACCCTGTAACCGCATCTTAGAGATGCGGACCTCACTTCCTGTTCCTTTCTCCTTCTAAAGACAGAGGAGACATCCTCCCCTTGTCTCCTTCTCCTGCAGAAATCAAACAGCAAGCAGGACCCCCAACTTAGTTTAGTTAGAATAGGAATTCTTTACTACCCAATATGTATTTCCTGGGGTAAACAGCAGCGTTCTCATTTTCTTACCTGAAGTCTCAACGTGATCATTTCAGGTAGAAAGCACACTGTAAGCAAGGATTCATAACTCGACTCAAGTTCTGATGTTGCATACAGACTCCATATGCCAGCAATTAAAACCACGCCAAGCCCCTTGTAGGAACTCGAAATCACCACTATCTTTAATTTTCAGGGTGGAAATCTAGGAAGCTACCTGATACCAAGGCAGAAAATGAGCGTGAACATTCCCACAGGAACATAGGGAACTACTTTATATAGAGTTAGACCATGGGTAGGCAAACTAAGGTTCGGGGGCCGGATCCGGCCCAATCACCTTCTCAATCCAGCCCACGGACAGTCCGGGAATCAGCATGTTTTTACGTGAGTAGAATGTGTGCTTTTATTTAAAGTGCATCTCTGGGTTATTTGTGGGGCATAGGAATTCGTTTATTCTTTGTTTCAAAATATAGTCCGGCCCCTTGCAAGATCTGAGGGACAGTGGACCGGCCCCCTGCAGAAAAAGTTTGCTGACCCCTGAGTTAGACCATTGGTCCATCTAGTTCACTATGCACCACACTGACTGGCAGCAGCTCTCCTAGGGCCATTCCCAGCGCTTCTTGGAGATAAACCTGAGACTGACCCTGGGTTCTTCTGCATACAATGCACGTGCTCTGCTCCTGAGCTGCACTCCTTTTCCTGCTTTTCCAGTTGACCCAAAGGGGTTTGCAAGAAGCTCGATTTGGCAGGGGACTTTCTATCATCTTTTTCCAGTAGGGAGGGATCAGGCTACAAGTTATTTAGGGATGCTTTGGTCCACACTTCATGCAATGCCTAACCTTCTCCACTAGATGGAACCAGATGGTGACATTTGGCTCAGCAGCAAGCGCAGAGTCACAGCGCCAAAAGGAAAAAGAGATTTCTGGGGCAAACGGTTTGTCTGTCTGTCTGTCTGTCTGTTTGTTCAACTTGTATACAGCTTTGCATTTCAACATAAATCTCTAAGCCGTTTACATATATCAACAAAAATTGTTGTTGTTTAGTCGTTTAGTCGTGTCCGACTCTTCGTGACCCCATGGACCAGAGCACGCCAGGCCCTCCTGTCTTCCACTGCCTCCCACAGTTTGGTCAAACTCATGCTGGTAGCTTCGAGAATACTGTCCAACCATCTCATCCTCTGTCGTCCCCTTCTCCTTGTGCCCTCCATCTTTCCCAACATCAGGGTCTTTTCCAGGGAGTCTTCTCTTCTCATGAGGTGGCCAAAGTCTTAGAGCCTCAGCTTCAGGATCTGTCCTTCCAGTGAGCACTCAGGGCTGATTTCCTTAAGAATGGATAGGTTTGATCTTCTTACAGTCCATGGGACTCTCAAGAGTCTCCTCCAGCACCATAATTCAAAAGCATCAATTCTTCAGCGATCAGCCTTCTTTATGGTCCAGCTCTCACTTCCATACATCACTACTGGGAAAATCAACAAAAATAAAACAATACAAATTCCGCATTCAGTGCTACTACTAACAATGATGATTCTAAAATCATGGAAGGGATCCCAACGATTATCTAGTCCAAACCTTTGCAATGCAGGAATCTCAACAAACGGTTCCCCATCTCATTTGAAACCATCCCAGACACTACTTAGTTTTGCAACCGTGCTGTCAATTTTATTGCTGTACCATTGGGGAGGTGGATAATTATTCCCACATTTTAAGTAACATAATTGCACAACAATAAATCTCGAAACAATGTACGGAAGGACATAAATAAATAAAAAGCACAGAGGCAAATATTACACCAAACATCAAAACACAGCAGCAGCGTCAAAATGCAAGGTAATTACAGCATAATCTCATAAATGGTGCCCCCCCCAATAGGATAGCATGTAATACAGCCAGGAATTCAGAAACTGTGCTGACACCCACAACTGCAGCCACCATATCACTCCCCGCAATTCTCAGTTCTGCAAAACACACAACCAATAATCATGTACAGAAAGATTGGCATCTACAGAAACAGTAACTCCAATAACTGTTAGAGGATTCAGGACAGATAATATAACTTCTTTAACCACGGCATGGGCAAACTTTATAACTTGCTCTGTGTGTGTCATGATTGTCACACCCAAAACCAGAGCTTTTCCAAACTTTTCACTATGGTGACACACTTTTTAGTGGTGCATCATTTCGCGACACAGTAATTCAGTTTTACTAGCAAAACAGAGGTTAAACTCTTTTTTTGAAGATAATCTTCATTGATTTTATGATTACATACTATACATATAGACATTACATTTACTCCTAAGAGTTAACTTCCCTCCTTCCTTCTTCCGGCTTTTTTATGTCGTCTCTAAGTTTTTCGCATTGTCTTTATCAATTTTGTATATTGTTGTTCTTCTTTCAACTTTATCCGCACCTTAACCTATGTATAACATAGTTTCCCCATTCTTTTTGAAATGTTTCATCGCCCTGTTGTCAAATTTTCCCCATTAATTTGGCTATTTCCGCATATTCCATGACCTTGTACTGCCACTCTTCTGCTGTTCGCAATTGTTGATGTTTCCACACCTGAGCCAGGAGCAATCTTGCCGCTGTTGTTGTGTATAGGAACAATTTCTGATCCTTCTTATCAATATCCTCTCCCACCATTCCCAACAAGAACGCCTCTGTTTTTTTCAGAAATGTGTACCTAAAGATCTTATTTAATTCATTGTATATACTTTCCCAAAAAGTTTTTACCTTATCGCATGACCACCACTTGTGGAAAAAACCACCGTCTTTCACCCCACACTTCCAGCAATTCTTGCTTCCTGCAAAACAGAGGTTAAACTAGCCCCTTTCCAGGAAGAGAGTGGGGAGCGTTTGCACGACACACTGCTGAAGAGATTTCCCCACCCCGGTCCAAAGTTGGAATCTGGCATGCGCATTAGGAAAGTGCAAGAGACATAGGAAGCTGGCATATACTGTACTAGGGCTGGGTGATATCTGGTTTTCAATATACAGTGGTGCCTCGCAAGACGAAATTAATTCGTTCCGCGAGTTTTGTCGTCTTGCGATTTTTTTCGTCTTGCGAAGCACGGTGTCGGGAAAGTTTTGGAAAAGCTTCAAAAATCACCAGAGTCTTTAAAAACCTCAAAAAAGGCTACCACACCGCGTTCTATGAGTTGCTCCTCGAAGTCAAGTCGCAACTGTATTAACGGTGTTAAGAAAAGGAAACAAACTTGCAAGACGTTTCCGTCTTGCGAAGCAAGCCCATAGGGAAAATCGTCTTGCGAAGCAGCTCAAAAAACAAAAAACCCTTTCGTCTAGCGAGTTTTTTGTCTTGCGAGGCATTCGTCTTGCGAGGTACCACTGTATATCACCAGCTAAAGGAAGGAACTACGCAGAGGTGAACAGGACAATGTCCTGGCAACTGCTACTACTTAAAGATCTAAAACTGAAAAATGATATTATCAATCACCTTATGGTTACTTTCAGCAGCAGGCAAGCCAAAATACATCCCAACAGGACTGTGGGTCCTGATTGGCTTGCCAATCAGAAGGTTGGCGGTTCGAATCCCCGCGACAGGGTGAGCTCCCGTTGCTCGGTCCCTGCTCCTGCCAACCTAGCAGTTTGAAAGCACATCAAAGTGCAAGTAGATAAATAGGTACCGCTCCGGCGGGAAGGGAAACGGCGTTTCCGTGCGCTGTTCTGGTTCGCCAGAAGCAGCTTAGTCATGCTGGCCACATGACCCGGAAGCTGTACGCCGGCTCCCTCGGCCAATAAAGCAAGATGAGCGCCTCAACCACAGAGTTGGTCACAACTGGACCTAATGGTCAGGGGTCCCTTTACCTTTACCTTACGTGTATCTCTTTAAAGGCCAGAGCAAATAACATGACCTAGTTTTACAGCTGTGAAGCAGTAGAGCAGTTGTGTTAATTAAGCTGTGTCAGCAAATGGGTATAGTATATAAAGAGCAGCGTGTACCTCTCTCAGTACCCTGGTGAATGGATGGGTCATACTTATAGATTTACAGTGGTACCGCGGGTTAAGTACTTAATTCGTTCCGGAGGTCCATACTTAACCTGAAACTGTTCTTAACCTGAAGCACCACTTTAGCTAATAGGGCCTGCTGCTGCTGCTGCGCCGCCGGAGCAAGATTTCTGTTCTCATCCTGAAGCAAAGTTCTTAATCTGAAGCACTATTTCTGGGTTAGTGGAGTCTGTAACCTGAAGCGTATGTAACCCGAGGTACCACTGTAATGTAAGAGGAGTTTTTGGTTTTGTAATTAAAGCCAAGCAAAAGATACTTTTGCGTTTCTTCATTGTTTCCTGAACGTGTGGTCTCCCCGGCACGCTCTCTGCACCGCAATTAATCTGCTAAATACGCAACAATATCGCCCAGCCCTAGAATATACTGAGTCAGACATCTTACTCAGTATTGTCTACACTGACTGGCAGCAGCCCTCCCAGGAAATACCGGGGATTGAACCCCAAGACCTTCTGCATGCAAGGCAGACGCTCTCTACCACTGTGCCACAGCCCTCCCCAGCTTCCTGCCCCCACCGGCGCAGCTTGAAAAGGCTGCTGTTTCCAGATCAATCTCACAAGTCCAGCCTCAGAGAGAATCCATCTAAATGTAACTGACCAAATCCTCAAATCTCCAAATAACGAAAACAAGGCGATGCAAGTAATGCAATCTGCCGGAAGTTGGCTGCAAAGTGACTTGGATCTCCGCTGGCTTAGGAGAAAGTGTCCATTAACGAGGGATTAACATGAGTGCAAGGGAAGCACATGGGCAGGCCGCTCCAAGTAGGGAAAGAGCTGTTCCGTCTGCCTTTGGGGAGGGTGCAGGGAGGCAACGCTTTAGACGTGCCCCCCCTCAGTGGCAGAGAACCATTTTCTGAATTTTGATGGTAGGAGCAGGGAGGTCCAAACTGATCTCTGCCTCCCCCACTGCCATGAAACCATTCCGAAAAGTTGCCAAAGTTCTGCAGTCAAACAGCAGGCCTCTCTAGACGCCCTTCGCATTGTGCATCCATGGTGGTTTGTGCTCCTGAAGCTTTCAGGGTGGTTCTATCTGATCCAGCTTTAAATATTGTTTGCACCCGCAAAATGCTCAGAGGAGACAAACATCCTTGTTTCCAAACTGTGCATGTCCCGTAGTTTTTTTTTCCAAATTGTGCACGTCCTTGAATCCTGCGACTTTCCTTAAAAAAAAATATTTAAAAAATTATTAGCAGTTTCAAAATAACAGCCAGTCAAAAATACATTCCCCCCATTTTCCCCTCCCCCTCCGCCAAAAGAAGAAAGCCCCCCCCCCCAGACTTCCCTCAGCTCCTCTCTCTGGTTTCTCAGCACATGTTAATCTCTGCATGTTACAAAATTGTAAAGATCCCTAAGTTATCTATATATATATGTTATCAATAAAAAGTTTGTGTATGTTTATTCAAAACCTGACAAGGAGTCCAGTTCATTTTGTTGTTTCTTTACAAGTACTTTGTGAAAGGTTCCAATTCTTCTTTGAAGTCACAGTCATCCTTGTCATGTAGTTTGTGCGTCAATTTCGCCAGTTCTGCGTTACCCATCAATTTCTCTTGCCACAGTTCTTTAGTCAGGATTTCCTCGTTCTTCCATCCTTGTGCTATTAAGACTCTTGCCGCCGTTGTTGCATACAGAAAAATGTTTTTCAATTTCTTTGGCAGGTCTTTCCCTACAATTCCTAACAAAAATGCTTCCTGTTTTGTTAGGAACCAAAAAAGGAACCAGCTGGGGAACCCCCAAGGTAAGAAGGCTCAGAGCCTGGGGAATGGTGGTGGGACAATGATGAGTGGTCAGAGGGAGAAGACTGGGAAGAGGAGGTGTTGGCAGCTGACGATGTAACAGGGTTTAGTGAGCAGGAAGAGTCTGTGGCAGAGAGCAGCCCAGAATCCAAAGCTGAAGCAGGCAAGGAGGGAGGCCAAGAGGAAGAGGTGAGTCAGGCTGGTGAAGAGTCTTAGATGTCTGTCCCCCTGCCCCACTTCCCGGTAGCAAGCTCTCCCTCCCCCAGTCTCCCAGGACCAGGAGAGGCATGAAGTGGGAAGAGCAAAGGCAGGCATACCGGCATAGTCTCCGATAGCTTGGGAAAGTCCCAGGAGAGGAGGAACCTTCAGCAGCTGTGGGAAGTCAAGGACCTTCAGACTCTGCAGCTGCCTCAGAGGGGCAAGACTAATTGCAGAAGAGTTGCTGTGCTCATTAGGCCTGGCACTAATGAAGAGTTTTCACTTTGTGTGCTTTACTGCTGGCTTGCTTCTGACACATAGGCGGCTGCCTTGTACGGAGCCAGACCATTGATCCAGCAGTCTCTGTACGGTATACACTGCTTGGCAGTGACTCTCCAGAGTCCGGGATGTCTCTCCCAGCTCTGCCTGGAGATGGGCATGGAATCTAGGACATTCTGTACGCAGAGCAGATGCTCTCCTACTGAGCTGCGGCCCTTCCACAAATCACAGAAAACTAGTAGAAAGCACCTCCCTGAGATGGAAGGATATTTTGAAAAGGAGGATCCTTTAATTCTGTGTGCCTCCAGGTGCAGTTCAAAGTGCTGCATCCCAGACACAGGTTTCCCCACCTCAGTGTGAGTGAGGCCCTACAGAGAGTTGCTGACATCATCTCTCTCTCTCTCTCTCTCTCTCTCTCTCTCTCCCCCCCCCCCCCCCCGCCATTGCCCCTGGCTTTGCGGTGCCAAAGACGACTTTTGAAAGAGCCTTGAGTTACAGAGAGAGAAAGAAAATATCTGTGGAAGAAAACTGCCTTGAGCTGTTCTTTAAGTTAATTATCACTTCTTTGGGTACCCTGAATGGCTGTTCAATGACAGTGTCAGCGAGTGGAAAGAAGCAAATTACTTTAATTATGGAGTAATTGCACAGAGTGATGGTAATTAAATCTTGATCAGTTTAAGTGAGCGAATTAATTGCTCCAACTTGGAATGCAAATCACAGCGAGAGGAGTTGTTTTGTAGTTTAATTAACACCAGCCACTAAATTCTTATCATATCTAAAATGCAGCCCATTAATGAGTTTGAATCTGGGCTCACCTTAATAGGAACTAGGACAGAATCCCTGCTGCGGAAGGTAAGGCAGGCTGGGTGAAAAGGGATGGGGAACTTAATATTCTTGTCAGTTGTGCAGATATTAGTTGCCCACTCCACTCTGCCTTCCAGTGTAATGTGCAAATAGAAATATTTCCATATAATTAGCTTTTGGACCCCTTTCTTTTCAAAATTCCCTGATCTGCTAAAGAGTATCCGCTTTCAAATATGACGGGGGGCCCTCCCACCAAGTTGCTTATTTGCAACAAGATCCCTTCTGTCTTCTATCACTCTTCTGTAACCAAACCCACCCACCCATTTCCTGATACCTGTCTCTTCATTCTGGAACTTCATGCCGTTGCAATAAACCTAACAAATTTGATGTTGGCACTGAAAATTCCTGAGATTGAGGGTCTGGTAAGATTGGAGACTCTTGAGAGTCCCAGGGACTGCAAGAAGATCAAACCTCTCCATTCTTAAGGAAATCAGCCCTGAGTGCTCACTGGAAGGACGGATCCTGAAGCTGAGGCTCCAAGACTTTGGCCACCTTATGATAAGAGAAGACTCCCTGGAAAAGACCCTGATGTTGGGAAAGATGGAGGGCACAAGGAGAAGGGGACGACAGAGGATGAGATGGTTGGACGGTGTTCTCGAAGCTACCAGCATGAGTTTGACCAAACTGCGGGAGGCAGTGGAAGACAGGCGTGCCTGGTGTGCTCTGGTTCATGGGGTCACGAAGAGTCGGACACGACTAAATGACTAAACAACAACAAAGATTGAGGGTCAAGAGACATAGTGTTGTGGGAAGCTGCCCTATAGTGAGACAGGCCTGGGGAAGTTGGCAGGAAGGAGATTGGCAGAAGCTGGCAGAAGTGGTTGGGTGATGCTGCCAAGTGGTCCTTGTCTCTGGCTCCCCGTACTCTGGATTTCTGAAGTCAGTGAGGCTTTCTGGAGACCATCCCTGAACACAATGAAAAGAACTGCTGTGCTTAAGCAAACCAGCTGATATTTCTAAATAAATGGCTTTCTAAACACATTTAGCAGTAGTGACCATTCTAACTTTTTCTTCAAAGGCAGACAACAGAAGATCAGATACCTGAGTGTTACACTAACACTACTTCTTCTTTTGCGATCCCTTGTAGCCGAGTAAGATTGTCTTCCATGAACAGTCTTAACAGTGAGTCTGTAAGTGACCATAGAGGCCAATTCTGGACCCACACGTCCTTCCACAGTGGGGACATGGGTTTCCAGGCGGGAGTTGATCACGGTGTGGATTTGCCAAATGTGCTTTCCTTTTAACACCTTTCTCCCTTTCATCCTGAGTTTGTGCTTCTTCAAAGTCCATGACGCCTTTGGTAGAGACTATTTTCCCATTGGAGCTCTTGCATGCCAGTGTTTCCCAATTGCCAGTGTTTATACTACATTCCTTTAAGATTTGCCTGGAGAGAGTCTTTAAACCTCTTTTGTTGACCACCAGCATTATGGTTTCCATTCTTAAGTCTGGAATAGAGTAGTTGCTTTGGAAGACGATAATCAGCTTTGGGTATACATCTGTTCCAGCCCCCAACAAAAAAACAATTATTTAATTTTAAAAAGGTAAGGGAACTTAGTTCCCCCGAGTTCCTGCTCAAAACCCCTCATGGGTATATAGATTTATTATGATTGTTATATTTAGTCACTTCTCCATTGACTCCTGAGACAGACGGATGCCGCCGACAACAATTTATATTCCACCTTTTCCCCAGACCGGGGCTCAAAGCTGCTTGCAAAAATTAAAGCAACACCGCTAAAATGCAAAAAGCTAAACACTTATAAAAGAGACTCATCAAAAAGTAATTAAACTCTAATAGAATCAAAACAATATAAAAACAAATGTATTGAAATACAGATCAAAAGAAAAGCATGGCACTATTGAAGCATGGAACTTAAGAAAACAGTCAGTTCCCAAAGGCCTGGCAGAATAAAACAGTCTTCACTTGAGGCGGAAGGACAATAAGGAACCAGTCTAGCTGTAGATTATGCCAGCGGTTCTCCAAGGTTTTTTTTTTCCCACTGGGTCACACTTTCAGAATAAAAATTTGCTCATGCCACACTGAATTTTTTATTGATAAGAAATACATTTTAAAAAGTAGAGACAGCACCTTGCCAACAAAGGTCCGTATAGTAAAAGCTATGGTTTTCCCAGTAGTGATGTATGGAAGTGAAAGCTGGACCATAAAGAAGGCTGATTGCCAAAGAATTGATGCTTTTGAATTATGGTGCTGGAGGAGACTCTTGAGAGTCCCATGGACTGCAAGAAGATCAAACCGATCCATTCTGAAGGAAATCAGCCCTGAGTGCTCACTGGAAGGACAGATCGTGAAGCTGAGGCTCCAATACTTTGGCCACCTCATGAGAAGAGAAGACTCCCTGGAAAAGACCCTGATGTTGGGAAAGATGGAGGGCACAAGGAGAAGGGGACGACAGAGGACGAGATGGT